CAGTGATTACAAAGTAGATCAAATACAAAAATGACATAAACCAAAAATGAATACGGTAAAAGAATGAAACCGAAAGTGTGTGCAAGTTATTGGCAAAAGTTATGTAATGTTAGCAATGGGGATTGGTAAACATAAGATTTAATCATGGATTAGAATGTAAACACTCACGATAAGCTGATTTTGGTGAGTTTCTGTGCTGTGAGATTGGAACAAACGTAAAACGTATTTATGTAGTCATACAAATATAAAGAAAGTGTTTCCTAGTTCTGATTTTTGCGTTTATAATGAAAATAATAAAAATGATCATCCTTATCTATTAATTTGCCTCAATCTCACGTCTTTATAAAAATCAGAATTCGAATGATGTTGGCCATCCACCATTAGCTGTCATATTGATCACATTTAATTTAAAGGGGACATGTTATCAAAAAATCCACTTTGACAGTGATTTTGAACGTATATTTGGGTAACCTGAGTGTCTACCGACCCACAAAATGTGAAATAAATCCATCCAGTCCTTTGTTTGTGGTCTGCATAAGTCTTACAACACAGAGAAAAATGCTCTGTTTCAAATTTGCTCTCCTTGTGATGTCACAGTGGGATTCTAGTTAAAAAAGAAATCCCCTCCCCTCCACCTGATATCTCCACCCATGGACTTGTTTCCCTGTATAATGTTTTTAAATGCACAAAAACTATGCTGACAAGTTCAGTCTATTTGAAAACATCTTTGTGGGAGGTCTGGAGGTCTCTCACCCAGAACATCTTTAGCAACAGAAATGTCTTTCCCTCAATTTGATCAATATTTATGAACAATTTAAAGGTTTTCCTCACCACTTTTAAATTATGATTTAGTTATGTGTCCTCTTTTTATGTTCATCAGTAACATTTTTACGCAGTGATGCATTCATTTAAAAACATGTAGACTTTGAGTTCTTGTGTTTCTGTTCTATTTTAGCCCTGCAGAGTTCCTCCAGCTGTAGCTTCATACAGGCTCTGCAGCCTTTGTTGTTTTTTATGACATCATTGGACTAACTTTAGTTTAGTTTATATATAATCAAACATAATACAGAATGTGTTCATTCTGTGACACATGATCAAAGTAAGTTTTACTGACAGAAGAGTTTAATTCATAGAGGGGGCGGGACATTGTTGATTGACAGACAGACAGTCAACATGGTTACTCACTCTCACCTGCCTGCTGCTTTGTAACGTTGTTTAGCCTAATCCCTATAAATTGGGTAATCACAACAGGTGAGCTTCGGGTGTAGAGGCTTGATAGTAACTTTTAAAAACCAAGAGAGAGCAGAAAACACCGACACCAACATTTTAAACACCGGGGTTATATCTCCACTAACTGTCTGTCTGAGCTCCTCTCTGTCTGACTCTGACTGACTCTCCGGCTCGTTTAACGGTTTATGGTGTCTGAGATGTACACTTAACTGTGCAAACTATGCAGATAAGTTAACTGTTGCTCACGCCGTGTCGGTTTGAGAAAATATCAGAACATTTGCATATAATTGAGTATAACAGTCGGATGCGCGACTCGCTTTAAATGTTGCGGCTGCAGGAATTGTGGGGCGTCATTTCTCATCTCCTTTCGTAAAGGATGGTCCAGTGTATCCTATGCAAAAGGAGGTTATAAAGGAAGCATTGACCCACCTTTCCTTAACTTTTAGAGAATTCGAACGGCTCTTATCATGGCCGCCACTTAAATGCTTCCAGGTCATTTCACTCAGTTAGGAACCTTCCTAAGCCAAAATGACGATTCGAACGCAACCTAGGTCTCCCATAAAGGGAAGGAGAGTTCATTGCTCAGTTTGCTCTCCAAAGGACAAGACCTGTTCCACCTTTCTTTGCAAAGTGCGTCCACAATGCGAGTTATTGTTTGGCATTATGACTTCAGTGATTGTTTGTTTATGATGAAAAAAACACTTTACACACAAATTAAGGAACAACCTGTGCTAATAAAAACCTCAAAGTGGAATCATTCTCTCTGCCTTCATTCCCATACCTCAACTCACCCTTTGATGTCAATGAGCTTCAGCCCTCAACCTCAATTTAGGTTACACCTGAAAAAGGGATAATATGTCGTCTTTTAAAGATTGTTTTCACATTTGCAAAATATCTTCTCTTCAATCTTTGTTGGCCAGTTTAATCATCGTGTAACTCCTTGTTTAGGGGACATAATCAGATTTTTTGTGTACGAGTATCAGGCTAGAATGTGTAGGATTGGTTGGACTTTAGTCTTGACTTGCTTAAATGCACATATGCTCTGATTAAGTTATCACCGTCCTACACTGTGTTTTAAAAACCTTATGGGAGCCCCTAACCTTTGCCTCCTTTTACCTCCGAGTCAGAGGAATTCATGAATAAACCAGTGAATGCTCTTAATCGAAATCTTTGGCGAGTGACCACGTTGTAAAATGGATAATCCACTCTGAGGTCTGCATTACAGGATTAGTTCAAATCCAGCACTGAGGCGGCTTCACATCAGGTGGTTTTTTACCTTCACGTCATGTGTTGAAATCCTTTAAAACAAACACTTCCTTCTGGATTAGCTCTCATTTAATCTTTAAATCAATACACAGATAAGACAAGGAATCTTTTCTCCTCCTTCTGAATAGTCGTTGGCTAAAAGACAGATCAGGTTTCCTTTCACTGTGCTTTCATATCTGCAGCGATCGTAAGAGAAACCTAATCAGACCATTGTAATTAAAGAGGCCAGAGTGTTGGTGCAGAAGGCGGAGAGAGGAGGAGGAGATAGCAGATGAGGCGAGAGGTCGAGTCTGCCCACTGAAAGCCACTTAAATGCCTTTCTTATTAACTCTCTGTGACATTTGATCTACCTGCATCCCTTCTCCTAAAACACATACACACACATACACACTTAGGTCTACCATCCAGCTCCTCTGTCCCTAAGAAACGGTCCCTGCATCTCTGCTGCATCCCCCTCCTCTCTGAATCAGGTTACTTTCATTCCAAACAGGTACTACATTGACATTTCTCGATGCAAATGGGGCCTCACCTCGAGCTGAAGAGACCGCTGTAACGGAATGTAATTGACCAACATGGAAGAAGTTGACATTTCTTGGGGCCGTAATGAAAAGTTCAGCTTCTTCTACTCCCATGAAAATGTTTTTTAAGGCATGAAAAGATACATCTGTGATGGTTAAAGCTCCTGTGAGGCGTTCTATGAGCTAGTTATGAAACAGGCTGAAATTCCAGCTGAAGCCTCGTTATGACCTTCAAAAAAGAAAAAGACTATCAGTGACTAGATTGTATAGTCAGTTTTTGAGTTTTTCTCGTATGTACCTCGAGGTAGAAATTTGGTCAGATCATCAGGACGTTTTGAAACGAAAAAAAATGAAGTAGCATCAAACCAACCCGACTGTGACCACCGCAATCTGTGCATCAATTAGCGAGAGAGCGTTGATGATTTTTGTATGTGCCTGCACTACTATGCGTTTACGTACATTCCCACTGAGCTAAACCAGCGAAGCAGCACAACCCCAGCTGTTCCAGCATGTTTGGAATTGAAAATAATAACTGATAGCGTTTGACTTTTCTCTCTTAATCTGCTCCAATGAGGTCAGCTGTCAGTTCTTTACTACTATACTGATTATTGTCAGAGAAACATCTTGATTTCTTTCAGCATCAAAGGCTCATTTCACCCCCAGCAGTTGGATAAAAGGCACATGATGAATAATGTCTCATCATTTTGATATTTTGTTTGAGTTGTTTTAAATGTAAATTACAAATTATGACTCACTCCTCAACAAAGTTTTATTTTCTGAGAGTTTGCTAACAGTTCAAGTGCATTCAATTGAAAGAATAAAATAATGAGTAATATAACAAAAAAATACAGTCATGTTAAACTAAAAAGTGATAGATCTGCTGGTTCTGGCTTTTCATTTGAGAGGATTTACCATTTTTCCTCTGTGTTGTATTATTGTGTATAATAAAATGGAGCTTGGGGCTCTTGGAAGCTGAAGAAAATATCATAAACTATAGACAACAGATAAAAAAGATAATTAAAATATCAAATAGTTTTTTCCCTAAAAAAGGCAAACTATCCTGATTGATTTGAAGCAAGACTGCACAAATCTAAACCTTAGCTCCAGCATGTTCAGCCAGATTTACACACATTTTTACTCGCATACTGGAATCCTGCTCCGTGCAGCAGATTCTTAATGATCCTGTTTACATGAGTGGGTGGCAGGAACTCCGCCATGGTCAGTAGTTCCAGCTGAGGTCATCCATGTTCAAAACTGATGCGCTCATTCCCTTCCGCCGAAAAACTTGGATGCCCAAGTAACATGAGCTGGCTGTCATGACTGTTGGCATGTGCGTGGACGGTAACTGGACGGTGTAATCAAGGAGAGAGACGTCGGCCATTGTTATGCGAGTGAGATCCTGTCGAGAGAGGCTTGGACGTCTTCCCAGGTTTCCGTTGCTGTCGTAGGTGGCGTGGGTCAAGTAACGACTCCCACAGAGGACTTTCACTCTGAAGTGCTGCTGGTTTTTCACATATGCATGTCCCTCATTACTGACGGGACTTAATGCGCAGCGCCATCTGTCCAGGGTTTGAGCCAAGAGAATATAAAAGAGTGTGAAAGTGAATGTGACTATTACAGCTGTAGAAGGTAATGAAGGTATCATTCACTGTATTATTACAGTGACAAAAGCCAAGCCTCACTGCCCTCTTTCTCGCTAATGGATCCCAGCCATTATTAACTGGATAAATCCTCCTCATTGTGTCTCTCTCTCTCTTCCTCTTTGTCTCTCTTTTCTGCCCGTCTATCCTCTCCTCATTTCGCCTCCCTTTCATCTTTTACTCCCTGTGAAGCGTCCTCTTGTTTCCTCATCTTGCAGCCGAAATTGTCCCCGCTGCTCTCCTTCCGCCTCACTTTCTCGTTCCAACCTCCATATGCCCTCGCTCTCGTTCTTTCCATCTTAACCTTTACTCATGCACTCTTTATTTCTTTCTCCCCACTTTCCAGTCCCAATGAAGCGCAGAGAGATGTCGCAGAAGAAGATATTCCTGATCTGCGTCGCCATCAGTACCGTCAGTCTTCTGCTGCACCATGGGGGCCACTTAAGCTGGTGAGTGATTTGAAACCCACCTTGCATATGCGAACACACACCTGCTCAAATGTTTCTCTCCTTAAGTCCATATGCTGCTAATCACTGTGAAAAACGTGGCAACAGCTCATGTCACTTACTTTCAAAAGGCAATTAAAAGTGAGACAAGCTTATTATTATTACACTCAAATATGGAGGCTGTCAGGGCTGAAGCATGGCTATGTGAGTCAAGGGACTTATTATAAAAGCTGTGTCATACATCTTTGTCAGTCTTGTATTCTGTTCTTGTATCTTTTCCAATTTAACCTTCAACATTCACTCATAAAAAACTTTTCTGACTCATGTTTTTACTGCCTCTGTTAGTTGGATGTTACTGCTCAGCATCTTGTCTCTCCACTTTTTACATATTTTGTCACATCCTCTGTACATCTGAAACTCTGCAGCAAGACTGCATGCTGTTATACTGTAAAGTAATCAATATATACAGTTTGCACCCAAGACTACAAATGATTGGACTTTGCAGGAATTTTGTAATAAGCCTAATTGTAATGTTAAAATTATTTCATGAATATTCATCTTCACTGACTGCACTCGTGCTGCTGCTTGATGGTTAATCTACTTTTTTGGACACAAATGATGCCAAGAATTCAATAATATATATTTTTTTACCTCTGTAGATGTCATCATTATGCTGAAGATTGGTTTATGATGGCATGCACATAATGGAATTGTTGACTGATGTGCATTAATAAGCTCTTCACAGACAGTATAATACATATAATAAATTGAAAACCAGTAAGTTTGACATTATTTGTTTGGAAATCCAATTATTGAAGACATTACACCTCGTGTAAGAAACTTTGTGACAAGTATTCTTTTTGCATCATGCATTATTTTGAACAGTCACTTGCTGTGCATATTTGCCGTGGAAAATTCACCACAAAGGTTGTTTCTATAACACGTCAATCTCTTTTATTTTTATGTATTCAGTGTATTTGCAATTATGTCACCAATGTCAACATTTTATTTAAAGTAGCTGCATCCCTTTTTCCCAAACCAATGGAGCATAAAATGTATATTTTTATTTCCTTTTTTTTTCTGTAGGACCATGGAAGCCTTCCACTTAAGCTGTCCTGGGCTGCGTTCCCTCCCTCTCTGGGGCCTGAAACCGAAGCACACCAATGTGGCCTTCCTCAAGACCCACAAAACGGCCAGCTCCACCATGCAGAACCTGCTCTTCCGCTTCGCAGAGCGCAACAACGTCACGGTGGCGTTGCCCGTGCAGGCCTGCAGCCACCAGTTCTGCTACCCTCGCTCCTTCACTCCTCACTTTGTCCATCCGCATACGATACCTCCGAACATCATCACCAGCCACATGCGTTTCAATAAGGCGGAGATGCAGCGCCTTATGCCCAACGATACAATCTATATCACAATCCTGAGAGAGCCTGGGTCCATGTTTGAGTCCTTGTTCAGTTACTACAACCAGTACTGTCAGAGCTTCAAAAGGGTGCCTAATGGTTCCCTGGAGGCTTTCTTAGAGGAACCTTGGCACTACTACCGACCTGATGAGAAAGACTCCATGTATGCACGCAACACTGTGACCTTTGACTTAGGTGGGGACAAGGACAGACCAGCTACAGATGTGACTTACGCCCAGACCTTTCTGGTAGAGGTGGAAAGAGTCTTCTCACTGGTAATGATAGCAGAGTACTTTGACGAGTCTCTGGTTCTCCTTCGCCATCTTCTTAATTGGGATTTGGACGACATTTTGTATGTTAAGCTCAACATGCGGACAACCAACTCAAAGCGTAGCCTGACGCCGGGCCTTTCTTCAAAGATCCGTGACTGGAATTCCATAGATGCACTCCTCTATGACCACTTCAACGCATCACTGTGGCGCCAACTGTCCGCCATGGGTCATGCGTGTGTGGCAAGGGAGGTGCGTCTCCTTCGACAAGCCCAGGAAAGACTCATGAGAAGCTGCTTTGGTGGACGGATGCCGCTCCTACGCTCAGCCGAGCAGATAAAAAACAAAGATCTCCGCCCGTGGAAGCCCAGTGGAAAAGTTGACATTGTGGGCTACGACCTACCGGTAAATCTCAGCCGTGGTTTCTCGAGCCAGGCCCAGGAGCTCTGCCTCAAGCTAGTCATGCCAGAGGTCCAGTATACAAGAGTTCTTTTACGCTCGCAATTACTGCGCTACCGTCGAAGCTACCAGTTCCGGCCACCACAGCAGTCACGCTCCCCCCAGCAGCCTATACGTACTGTCCTGCTGCGGCATCCTCAGGGTCAACGCAGCCAGCCGACCCCAGCAGCCCCAGGCCCTGTATCAGGAACAAGGTCTACCTCCACCACAAAGCCTGCTGAAGGGCCACAAGATGGGACCACAAAGTTAAGGCCTAAGACCTCACAGAACGAGGCCTCCTAGGCTGCAAACAGAGACATGGACACAATCTGAGTGCCCAACAGACTGCATTGAACTTACCCATCCTGACCCTCGAGACAATGATGCTTGGTGGATTGGGGCAGTGGGAAAAACGTTGTCTTTGGGAAATCAATGTCTCTCCCTTCCACAGTTTCTGATAAAAAAATACATGAGAACAAAGAAGGGAAAGCGGGTTACAGTTTTTTTTGGGACTTGAAGTGGAATCCCTCCCCTCCCTGGTCTGTGAAACAGCACCAGAGTTGGCAGACTCATGAGCTGAAGAAATCTACACTGAGACACGGCTCAATTGCACTCCTCTGCAAACGGATTGGAGAGGGTTTTAGGTGAAAGTGGTTCTTTGAAGCAAATCTGTTACATGCGACAAGGACTCAATAGGGAAGTGGCGATATCGTGCCTATTGTGAGGCACAGAGTGGGCTTTGTGTGTATCACACTGGTATAGTCTCATGTTACTTGCTTTCATTCTGTTTCTCGAGCTCTATTTCATTCTCTCTCCCTAACATATGCCATTTAAAGTCCTTGAGAGAGACATAGTGACATAAAGGGATCAACTGTCAGGCTTCCAAAGAGCCTCCTAAGAGGCCAGACAGACATTGAGATCACCTCAACCATTAACACGACAGCACAATCAACGACTCCTCTCTTACGGATTCCAAGGGCCTAAAGCAATGGTGGAAGGATGGGTTAAAAGCAAGGATGGATCTTATCTAGAGGGTAGGCTAAAGACTGCTGGATACTCAATTTGGCCACCCATTATTGCTGTGACTTCAACAGTGACTGAGCACACTCATAAAGCCTGTGTCCCTTCAGCCTTCAACCTCTCCGGCTTGCTCCCTGCATCCTCCATCCTCTGATCCCTGATGCTGCCCTCTGGTCAGGCTCTAGAACCAGACAGCAGCACCAACATCTTTCTTTCTTTGCTGTCCCCCTCGGACCACCAGCTGAGATCACATCTTTTCACTGTAGAGAGTTTTTGGAGATGGTGAGGTTTCTGGATGTGAGGTTGCATTGCAATATGATCCCCAGGCCTTCATTCTATATGGAAGGCATGGATTTAATAACCTACCAGCAACCCCACACTGCACACATCGCCACAAACAAAAAAAAACCTAAAGCAGCTTGACAGGACAAAGACCTGAAGCCCGTGGGTCCCAGTGTTTGAATATTTAATTCTCTCCTATCATAGCCCTCCTATGGCCTATGTCCTTAGGTTACACAGCGATACGTTTTCATTAGATATATAAGAACGGGGTAAAGGTGCTCATTCTGAATCAGGAATTTCAGGTGAACAAAGCAAAATCATCAGCGTATGATGCTTTAAAAAAAACTCACAAGGCTGGTGGGCTGAAAACGTCATCATTTATCTCAGCTGTGATCCACTCTTACTGCATTTTGCTCATATTTAATGTGTCATTTATGTTATTTATTCCTCTGGTGATCAGCAGGGTACTGCTAAGTGACTGATAGGCGGAGGAAGGACGTCTGTGTGTATCTGTGAGTGTGTGTGACATGGGAGTGTATGTGGGCCAGGGAATGTTGTATTTTTTTTCATGGCCAGCCAAGTTGGCATGGCAACAAAAGGAAGTAATGTGGGTGAGATTTATTGAAACTATGTATTATTTATTATCGGGACTTGAAGAATCCCATTACTGTATTTTGAACTGTTGTTTTTCATGAACCACTGGATAAAAAAATAAAAAAAACTTTCTTTGACGTCAAGTTAGTGAACATTTGAGTGTTCATCAAACCACTTCAGGCAACATCTGGTTAAGGCTTGTGGCGATGATATGAATCATTCATCTCTATATGTTTTACATAATGCAACACTACAGAAAGCACTTCTGAAAACCCCTACATTGAATCAAGTGTAGTCACTTTAAAATTCATCTTTCGTTCAGCAGTGCTTAAGTGCTCGACCGCACAATGCTTTTGTGGTTGGAAGTCTGTCACACTGAAGGTTACAATAATGAGAAACACAAACTGCTGCTGCTCTGACAGGAACAAAGAGCAGGAGGAAAAAGCGACACGGCTTGAGGATACACAGTCTTACTGTACAATATGTGGTTGAGAATATTCAAATATTCAAAGTGTGCTTACACGAACTAACAAGGAACGTCAGCTTTGAGGGCATCAGAATCATAACAGTGTTTATTTACAGGTAATTAAACTTCTGTGATAGATTCCTTTAATGCACATGATCTGTAAAAACATTAAAAAAATTATATTTAAAGATATTGTTTCTGCTTTTCAGTTCAAGTAATCCCAGTGGACCAAATCAACGTGTAGATCAGACTGCTAACTTCCTCTAAAGGCGAGGTCATTTCTTGAAACAGCTAGGCATTATATTGTTTGGGACTTTTGTTTTTCTTAGAGCTGTGGATAGATACAGGTTTAATGCACTTCCTCCCATTTTGACTAAATTAATGACAGGTCATTGTAATGATCCTTCCAGTGTGAGACACTGGTTCACTTTATATAGATTTTTCTTTGCAACACTTACAAGTATTTTAGAAATGTAAGGCTTCTTAAAGGAACAGTGCGTACAAATAAACAAGATCAACTCATTGTTTGTTGGATTTGTCAACATCTTGAGATATATAAAACATGTAAAGCCTTATATATAAGTTCACATTTGACTCAGTTTGAATACAATGCTGCTTTGACAATGCTTTAAACTGCTGAGAGATAACACTGAATTTATGTTCCTGTCTGTCCCTTTTGTGTTCAATATCAAATAATAAACAAGACTATGAAATGTAACATGGGAATAAATACAGTCAAAATATGTAATCATATTATTGTGACATAATCCAGCAACAAACTGCATTTTAGTAGTTATTTCCTTTTGATTCCTTTATATTTTATTCTGTCTTAAAAAGTATTCAAAAGTCTGCTGTTCATATAAAAATGAAGCCTCTCGTGGGAAATGAAGCTGTGTGATTGGCTGCTGATTGATCTGAATGATTTTGGCTCTGACCATTCATTTTAGACTCAAACCTGTCCCAATAAGGGAAAAAAAAGTCAAAGAATAAACTGGTCATGTTAAAAGAAGGATGATAATATAAAGAAAGAGCTGAAATATGCGCAATTTCATGCTTATATTTCAGATGTTGTCTGTATTTTTGGGGATAATTGCTCATTTGTGGACTAATATTGGTTCTTAAATGAAAGAAAACAATGAAAAGGGTCTTTGAAAATATCTCTCCTGAATCGTCTGACTGGGATTTAGCTGAAGGTTTTTCTTTTTTAATTTCTTTTATTTCCTCTCAACTATTAATTTCTGTTCCATTTCTTTGTGGCTGTGAGTCTCTCTAAGTGCTCTTTTGATTGTACGAGTCGTTCGCCCAACTGTTCTGCTTCTGGTGAGAAAGAGAGTTTCACTAATGGCCATGCTGTCGTGTCTAAAGTGTCGGCACTTCTTTGCCAGAGGCGCTCTGGAAACAGTACGCTAAAATCTCATCATCTTAACGAAAAGCTGCTCCTCCTTTTTTTTTTCCCCTCAGAGTGACATTGAAATATATTTATTTTTTAAGAGGAAGAGGGTTTCTTTGTTTTTTTGGGTGAACTTTTATCAAATGAAAACATTGCACCAGGTGATTGTGGCATATTAATAATTCTCCGACTGTATTTTCCTCTGAACTCTCTTATCTGCTCAATGTTGCACTCCATCCTCTGTTTATGAACTTACCTGTGGACTGAGAAGAGTGAGACTTTTTTTTCTTTTTAAATTTCATTTGGGGTGCTTGACTTGGAGAGTTTGGGTGGGTGGTGGGGCTCTGAAGAAAATGCCCAATGACAATCAGAGCTAGGGGCCCCAAAGCTTTGTAATGAAGGACTGTGAAGAACGTGATGAATAAAGTTTGAATGAATTTAAATCAGCTGTGAGTGCACGCGTGTTTGTCTCTGCCGTTTCCCTTTTCAATGCAGATTTATTCAGATATGCACAGGCTTGAATTATTCAGAATTTTAGAGACACGCACACACACACTCACTCCTTCTGCAGTGATACGTAACACACATCAACATTTGGTCAATTAAGATTCTGATCCTAAATGGTTTCTATTTCCCTGAAGACCCGGACCACAGATTTGAGCCTTCAATCAGTCGTTTGGAATTACCTCGGTCCAGCTCGCCGGCTCAAATGAATGAACAATTTACTTCCGAGAAGGACAAAAAACAAAATGCGAAGCTGTTTGTTCTGACTGTGATTGAGGCAATCACTAAAATGTGTTGCCCTCCACCTCTCCGCCATTATATCCTCCAGACCCTTTGTCTCAGCAACTGTGAAACGTCTTCTCTGCTGTTCTTCTGCTTTTGGTTATGAAAGGAGCTTCAGGCTGATAAATGATTGAAAAACAGAAACTAATAATATAACAATAAAGATAGTCAGATGACAAACGGGGACAGAACATGTCAGGTTGTCAACAAACACTTGAACCTTAGTGTGTTCTTCCTCCTGAAACAAGCCGCCTTCATGCATTTACAATCAGCTGCTGTGCAGAAACATGGCAGAGTGACACATCATGAACAACACTGAAGAGAAAGTTGGAAACATTATAAAGCAGCTGTTAAATATCCACTCAGCACAAGTCTGTGAGAGCACAGATAAAAGGTCTAATATGCAGCTTTCAGAGTAGATGTCATGATTTCAGCACCAGGCTCTAAGACTGAAAGTTACTTTTCTTTGGCCATACCCTCCCCCCAAATGAACACACGTGCAAACCCCTGAATTATTAATACTATTTATTTTAGATTTCTTTTCCAATTTTGCTTTATCTGGCTAGGAAAACGCTTTTATTGAATGAACACTTTTTACTCTCACATACCAAATTGCTCCCATGGCATTAATGGTGCATTCATGTGGTGTCGGACACATCGGGAAAATGAGTTTCTGATTTGTAAAATGCACATGAACGCCTGCTCAAGTCCGAACAACAACTTAGGTGCCCGACTTGCAGACTTGATGTCATATTCGTCATCACATGGGTGGCCAAATATGGTTCTGTTAATGTTAAGATACTTTTTATGTGCAAAAAGCACATAAGCTTTTTGCTAAAAAGAAAAGAAAAAAAAAAGAAGACGTTCACTCATCTTCTTCAAAGCTTGAACACTTTTTTTTGTAGTGGTTACAACATTCCAACTTTCCAAAACTGAAATCACGGGAAAGCACTGAAGTTGGAAGAACTACTTCACAACTCGGAAACTGGGACCATCTGAGGAGCACATGAATGCAGCATAAGCATTAACCAATCATTATGTGCGTCAATTAGATTTATTATTAGCAACACGTCAAGCATTACATACATTAAGGAAACATTAAACCCTCCCAACACATAACATATAATAAAATGATTGGGGGAAAAGCAGGGTTGTTACTATGATCCTAACTGATGCGGGATATCAGCCACAGAACACACAAAATCAGATTTACCTCCCTAATAAAACACAAACAAACAAACAAACCACCTCTGTACTGTGCTGCAAAGCTTAAAGGTCCACAGAGGAAAATTCGAGACCACACACTCCACCACAATGCATCTCATTAATATCATAACCATGTATTCATGTGTTGTGCACATGCTGTTTTATTGTAGTTATTTGTTGTATTATTCATTTGAAAGTGCACAAGTGGAACTCTGGGTAATTTGCAAGCTGAGCATTGTCAAAAGGTTAGCCTCAAGTGCTCCGCCTTGATTGCACTGTGATGTGGGCTTAAATGTCACGAACCTTTTCATCATCAAGGAGGAAATTAATCTTCATCTTACAGAAAATAAATCATGGTAACTGAATAACAAGTTGTTGTTTCTTCTCAATGGAACACAAGAGAAAAGTTTTTCTCTTTTCTGGACATTCAATGACGCTTTGCCGCAGGATATCACACCATAGCTGACCAGTTTTCTGTCTTGACATCGTCTACAGTTAAAGAATCTTCTTCAGCTGCTCTATGATGCCAATCAATGAATCGATCAAGCGCTGTTGGGCTACTATCTACCCTGCCATGTGGCCCCCACAGCTCAACTGTGAAATAAGATGGTCAGCAGGTACCATCACCTGGGTCTTCAAGTGGGAACCTCCCTTCACAAGTGTTTTGTCAAGTTATGCCCCCAACACCTCGGGAAGGCTCGGGAAGTTAGCTCCAGCGTCCCATAGCAACCCCCCTCCATGCTAGCTCATATGCCCATAGTAACCTGCACAGGCAGAACTTATTTGTGCTAAATACAGTTATTCCAGCTTTCAATATTACAGAAGAGAAAAGAGAAAAATTGAGAGAAGAGTCTGTAGAAAAAATGTGTATATATAGCCTATATTTACCTATAGCATTATGTAGTACAGTATACTAATTAAGATAGTTTATCATGCTTAAAATGTATGTGACATACAGTTAATGACCAAAAAATAGATCTAGATAATTGCTGATATAAGGTCATATAATATGCAAACAAAAAGATTAAATTTGACCTATCACAGCCCTCCAAACATCATATCAACATGACAGGAAATAGTAGCATCTCACAAACACTGTACTTACTTTAAATGTACGTCACAAAGGCGGATGGATGAAGATACTTGAAGTAGGAAGTTTTACAATTTGTTTTTAACAAGGGATGGAAAGGAAAAACAAAATGGCCTCCAGCAGCTCTTGAACAGCTAGCCATGAGGCCCAAAATCTGCCCCAGAAAACACACTAAAAATAGCCCCACCTGGTGGCTGCAGAATGAACTGATAGTCTTCTCCTAGGTGAGAATTTTTTTGATTAACTAACAATTGAGACCAATTATCTGAAACTCTTACACTGACTTTGCTACAAGCGACATCCTCCTGTGTTTTAGAATGAAGCAGATGAAGTGCAAAAAACTGCAGTTCCTCAAGTGTCCTCTTGGGGCTGGCTACTAAAGCCCCAGAAGTCCCATTAACACCTATGTTAAAATGCTAAAATATGCATGTGAACATCCTGGTTCATGGAAAGATTTAATCTGAAAACTACGGTCTTTATTGGTACACTCGGGCATTGATTATTATTATTTTAATTTTTAATTTTAAGAAATTCTTCTAACATTTAAAAAGCATAAAAAGAAAATAAAGCACTATGAAAGGCTTTGAATTATGCATATTTAGTGGCACGGCTGATCCGACTGGTTGGCACAATGTAGCTATTTGTCAGGAGGCTTATGGCCTAAGGAACGAGGAAAAGTTCATTCAAAATTGATTCTTATGTGGTTGTCTCACCCTTAAGTCTATTGTCTCCCTTAAATGTGCACCGCTTCAGTCGCTAATGCTAATTTCATAATGATTCTTACTCTCTTAAATCAAGTTAATGTGCAAACACGTCAAGAGTAGTCTAATGTGTCTGTTTCCAAACACAGGCTGTTAACGCTTTCCTGAGCAGGTCAAGCTTAAATTATGTGCACCACTACACCACTGACTAAAAGCATCAGAAAAACATAAAGAGTAAAATCGAAAATCTGTTTTCAGGGCGGCATACGTAATAGATAAGAAATAACTTCTGGTTTGATTCTCTAGAATACAGAGGATCAATCCCAAACCATAATCGTCCAGGACTTTCCACTGATCCTTTTCAAAGATGTCGAATTTAAAAGCTTTCATTATTCCATCTGTCTTTTAATAATTGTAATTTCTTTTTTATTCTTTTTTTTTATTGCACTGCTTTAACATTTCAGCTGTAACATCCAGCCGGCAGATGCACACAGCTCTCCCGCTCTTTTGTCAGGCCGTGTTGGCGACGGATGTTTGCAGGCTAAATGTAGTCCAGCTTTGTGAGTCACAGAGAGCAAGGAGGCACCGCAGCACAAAGGTTTTAATGTATTTTTCTTTTTTTTTTTTTGCCTTTTGTGAGTCAGAGTGTGTTGGAACAATGCAGGAGCGCAGGAGGCTGGCTGGGTGGGCTGTTAGAGCAGCTTATCCCTGATAATGTGCGCTCATCCCCTCTCTGAATAAGCGCTCTGCAGGGCTCAGAGGTGCCACTGACATCCAATCTACCTTTTGTTCTTACTTTCACTTTCTTCTCTACAGAGATGGAATTTATAGTTTTACATGTGTTTCCTCTCAGGCAGGAATTATATAATTGAGCCAGATAAACCTGACTGGTGAGGGTATCACCGTTTTTGGAGGCTGTAAAGTACAGAAGTTCAGAGTAAAATGCGACAGGTAACTTTGGATTAGATAATGAATACTAATTAGGGTTAGCAGATCGTCCCCTAAACCACACAACGCTTCAGCTGTGTTGAGGTTTGGAGAACTGAAAGTCCTTTTGATGAAGACAATACTTCTTGATATTCTTCTTGATTTGTGCCCTTTGTTTTTATTGATAGGGTAGCTGAAGAGACAGCAATTGTAGGGAGGAACCGGTGAGGATGACATGCACTAAATGGTCGCGCATCAGGAGTCCAACCAGAAACCAGTGAGTCTAGGACTTACGCCTCTGCACCACACATAGAGAGACACATCTTTCCTGAATGCAGACAACATAACTAACCCCTACATATCCTTTGCGGAAAAAAATCCATGTTATTTTCACATGCTTGCATGAGCATCAGTGGCATGCACCCAACTGGAAGGACATCTTTAGTCTTGTAATCTTGCACAGTGGCGTACCATAGCGCCTTAAACACGTCATCTATCCCAGAGGACACTTCTGCTGCATTTTTTTTAGGGCAACAGAGGGATACTCAGTCAGGTACGCAGTGATGGTAAATGGATTGTTCTTATATGGCACTTTTCTTTCTCGGCTTTTTACACTGTTAAACTACATGTCACATTCACCCGTTCACACACTGATGGCAGAGGCTGCTATGTAAAGTGCCCATGGGTATTAATTAATCCCTTCACACGCTGTCGGCTAAGCCACTTGGGGAGCAAT